CATGTTCACCCGCTTCCCTTGTGAAAGCGTTGCTTTCTGCTTCGCATGGGGGGAAAGCTCCTGGCACAGCGTCCATCAGAGCTTCTTGTTCTGACTCCCCTTCGTCCAGCCAGCCCTGACTCAGCCACACCTGCCCACCACCAAGTACTGAGCAGGGAAATGGCAAGGCAGCCACTATCTGGTACTCAGGAGTCTCTTCAAGAATAGCGTGCCGCTTGGCGCGGTGGCTCGTGCCTGTAATCCAGCACTTTTGGAGGCTGAGGTGGGCAGATCACCTGAGGTCAGGAGTTCGAGACCAACCTGGTCAACATGGTGAAATCTCTACTAAAAATACAAAAAAAAAAAAAATTAGCTGGGCATGGTGGTGGGCACCTGTAATCCCAGCTGCTCGGGAGGCTGAGGCAGGAAAATCATTTGAACCCGGGAGGTGGAGGTTGCAATGAGATTGGACTACTGCACTCCAGCCTGGGTCACAGAGTGAGACCTTCATAAAAAAAAAAAAAAGGAGAATGGGGTGCTATTTGTAAAACCCTTAGAGGATAACAAAAAAATTAAATTGCTGTCATTGCAAAAGCAACACTGCGTATCATACAAACATATCACAGAGGTAAATAGAGTGAGAAGTTGTGTCCTTAGCCAGAGCTGAGAGATACTGAGAAATTAACCTTACATATTTACTCATGGAGTTCTCATTTCCAGTGTTCCTTCTTAAATGTAGATCTACTCTTCCATCTGCTTCATCTGCTGTCCCTTTAATATTTCTCATTGTGTGGGTCTGCTACTGAATTCTTTTAGCTTTGTATGTCTGAGAAAAATCTTTCACTGTTTAAAACAAATGACAAAAGAGCAGTTCGGGGTTTACAGAAAATCTAAGCAGATAGTACAAAGAGTTCCTATAGACCCCTCTCCTGCACACAATTTTCCTTATTAGGAACATCTTGAATTACTATGGTATGTTGTAACAATTAATATACCAATTTTGATGCATTGCTATTAACTAAAGTCTATAGTTCACATTAGGGTTCACTCGTTGTGTTGCAGTTACATGTTTTGTTGTTGTTTTGTGGGTTCTTTTTTTTTTTCCTGGAGACAGACTCAGGCTTTGTTACCCAGACTGGAATGCAGTGGCACAATCACTGCTCGCCGTAGCTTCCACCTCCGCGCCTCAAGCAATCCTTCCTACCTCAGCCCCCTGAGTAACTGGGACTACAGGCCTGTGCCACCACCCCTAGCTAATTTTTTTTTGTAGTGATGAGGTCTCGTTATGTTGCCAAGGCTGGTCTTGAACTCTTCCTGCCTCAGCCTCCCAAAGGGCATGAGCCACTGCACCTGCTAGTGATATGGGTTTTGAGAAACGCATAATGACATGTGTCCACCATTACAGTGTCATACAGAATAGTTTCAGGGCCCTAACAATTCCTTTGTGCTCTGCCCGTTCATCTCTCCCTCTCCCTCCAACCCCAATCCCTGGCAACCATTGATCTTTTTATAGTTTCTACAGTTTTCGCTTTTCCTGAATGTCTTATCATTGGAATCACATAGTGTTAATATGTAGCCTTTTCATCCTGGCTTCTTTCATTTAGCAATAAGCATTTAAAGTTCCTCCTTGTCTTTTCATGACTCCGAGGTCATTCTTTTTATCATTGATTAATACTCCACTGATCGGCATGACGAGTTTGTTTATTAATTCGCTGATTGAAGGACATCTTGGTTGCTTCCAATTTTTGGAAATTGTGAATACAGCTGTTTTAAAAATTTATGTGCAACTTTTTGTGCGGACATAGTGGTTATCTGAGTAAATACCTAGGAGTGCAGATGCTGGGTCATAAGGTAAGACTTGTGTCTTTCATAGAGCAGAAGTTTTAATTTTTTTTTTTTTCGAGACAGAGTTTCACTCTTGTTACCCAGGCTGGAGTGCAGTGGCGCGATCTCGGCTCACTGCAACCTCCGCCTCCTGGGTTCAGGCAATTCTCCTGCCTCAGCCTCCTGAGTAGCTGGGACTACAGGCACGCGCCACCATGCCCAGCTAGAAGTTTTAATTTTAACACAATCCACCTTACCAATTTTTACTTTCATGGATGGTGTGTTTGACTTGTCAAAAAAGCCATCACTAACCCCACCACCACCAGGAATTTCTCCTATATTATCTTCCAGAACTTTATGTAAAAACTAGATCTGTGTCTAGTTTTTTGTTTGCATGTGGATGTTCAGCTGCCCCAGCATCATTCGTTGAAAAGACTATTCTTTCTCCACTTAATTGCTTTTGCTCCCGTGTCAGAGAACAGTTGACTGATCTGTGTGTCTTTCTGGACTTGCTATGACATTCCGTTGATCCACTTCTCTTCTCTTGCCAACATCACAATGTCTCGATTATTGTAACTTTATAGTATGGTTGCGTCAGTTCTCCAACTTTGTTCTTCTTCGGTATTGTGTTGGCTATTCTGGGTATTTTGTCTTTCCATATAAACTTTAGAAATCAGTTTGTTGATATCCATGAAATAACTTGCGAGATTTTGACTGGTGTTGCATTGAATCTCTAGATTAAGTTGGAAAGAACTGATATCTTAGCACCACTGAGTTTTCCTCTCCACAAACATGGGGTATCTGTCTATTTAAATATTTGATTTATTTTCTGAGAGCTTTGTAGTTTTCCTCATATAGATCTGGTACTGTTTTGTTAGGTTTATGCCTAAGCATCACATTTTTTGGTGTTCTTGTAAACAGTATTGCGTTTTTAATCTCAAAGTCCAACTGTTCATTGCTGGTGTATAGGAAAGCAATTTTGGCTTTTGTTTATGAACCTTACATGGTAGTCCCCCATCTATGGTTTTGCTTTCCATGTTTTTAGTTACTTGCAGCCAAACACAATTTAAAAATATTAATTGGAAAATTACAGAAATAATTTGTACATTTTAAATTGAGTGCCGCTCTGAGCAGTGTGATGAAATCTTGTGCCTTCCTGCTCCATGCTGCCCGGTACCTGAGTCACGTTTCTGTTCCGCATACGCATGTCATATACACTACCTGCCCATTCATCACTTAATCGCTGAGAGAGAGGCCACATTCATGTAACTGTTATTACAGTACATTGTTATAATTGTTCAATTTTATTATTAGTTATTGTTAATCTTTTTGCTATGCCTAATTTATAAATTAAGCTTTATCGCAGATGATCCATATAGAGGAAAAAGCTTAGTATATATAGGACTTGCTTCTATCCCTGGTTTCAGGCATTCCTGTATGAACTCCAGGGTCTGGTACAAATCCCCAGCAGGGTCTCAGAACATGTCCTCTAAGGATAAGGCCGGGGGGCGCCGCTGGGTCCAGCAACTCTGCTGTGGTCACTTTTATTAGTTTCAGGAGGTTTTTTTTGGTAGAGTCCTCAGGATATGATACACAGTTTATCTTATCATCTGTGCGCAAAGACAGTTTCATTTCTTCCTTCCCAGTCTGTATACCTTATTTTCATGTCTTATTGCATCAGCTAGGACTTCTACATGATGTTGAACAGAAGTAGCGGGCGGGGACATTCCTGCCTTATGCCTGTTCTTAAGGAGAAGAGGTCCACTTTCTCACCATTAAGTATGACATAAGCTGGTGGTTTTGTGTAGATGTTCTTTATCAAGCTGAGGAAATGCCCCTCCATTACTAGCTGGCTGAGAATTTTTAATGTGAATGGGTATAGAGTTCCAGTTGGGGATGATGAGAAAAATCTGGAGCTGGATAGTAGTGAGGTTGCATGGTAATGTAAATGTACTTCATACCACGGAACTGTACACTTAAGAATGGTTAAAATGTTTTGTATATTTTACCATAATAAAAATAGTGCATTTTGAAGAGAACACAACCTCCCACATGTGGCTCTAGCCATTTGCTCCTCAGACACCCGGCCGCACCCGTGCCTCAGGCCCTTGCATGAGGTTCCTCCTGCAGACACGACAAAGATGAGTGGACAGATGCAAGGGGATGGGCAAGGGGACACTGGAGACACATTCAGAAAGCTCCCTGTGGCTGGGCGTGGGAGGAGCCTGGAGGAGGGTGAGGGCAGCAGTTGGATTCTCATCCACCTTCCTGTACTTACTCCTAGCTGGTAAGTACAGGAAGCCAGCTGACCTCTTGTAGTTTCAGTTCCCTCATCTGTAAAATGGAGGTATCCATGCCGTCAAGCCGAAGGCCACAAGGAACATGCCTGTAATTGAACGCGTTGGGACTGTCACTGGTTGCAGTGAGGAGGGCGCAGATCATGGAGAACTGCCGGGCATCTCAGTAAGAGGTGTCGGGAAAACTTACTGAAAAACATGGGCTTGAGTTGTATGATTTTTTTCGTGGATTAGATGCCCTCAGGAATTGTGGGGGTGGGGGGAAAGAGCAGTTCTCTGGGCTTCTAGGTAGATGTTATCTGGGAGGAGGCCAGGGCAGAGGGAGGCTCAGCTGTAGCTGGTAGAGGACCTGGGGTCATTGCTACTAACTGGGAAAGGACATGTCTTAGGTTCTGTGGGTGGTACAGTGCCCCTATTTTTGTTTGTGCTTAGACAAAATTATGACATGGCCTTGGGTCATGATGGTGCTCCTCCACGAGATTATTTATGTCCAATAGGAGGCCGCGTGGCCTTGATGTGAGCGCCAGGCCAGTTCCTGATGTCACGGTCCACTTTTCTCCTCGAAGTCATACTAGTACCTATTTCATGGAAATAACCTATGTAGAGTGCTCAGTATGTACCTTATGAAGGGTTAATGCTATGAATGCTGATAGTAGTGGGAGCTGATACGGAGGGGAATGGAGGACACACCTTGGAAAACCAAGCAAGAGTCTGAAGGTGTGGCAGGCCAGGTCTCGCTAACTCAGGCCTCCATTACAACTATTCCAGAATGGACTGAGTAGCCAGGTTACACATGCAAAGCTGACGGAGCCACTGCCTTTACATAAAGGTTGGAATGTAACAAAGAGCCCACCAAGAGTTCTGCCTTGGCTTTTCCTGGGCCTTGAAGCATGACAAGATAATGAACAAATTCTTAACAGGACCCTTTTTAGTATTAAACAAGTTTTATTGGGGTCTGAAGAAAATCCCCACGCCTCCACAATCAAGTTTATTGGGGTCTAAAGGAACTCCCCATACCATTATGATTTAGCAGGAGACAAGATAAGGGTAATCACCCCAGCACCTAGACCCATTTATATTAAGTAAACTTACTGAGGCTCCAGAAGAGGGTCTTCAGGACTTAGATCTTAGTTACAGACTAAAAGAAGTTAATCACGTATGTCTTTAGCTGAACGCACAGTTACACGTAGACATACAGCTTAGAAGGTGTATAAGCTCTGGAAAACTTTGTAATTTTCAGTTGGTCTGGTGATCATTTCCAGGCCTTCTCCCTGTAAGCGGTTGCAGACATAAAACCTCTTACTCCCCAGTTCATTGGCATCTTGTGTTATCGGGCCACGAGAAACAGCAGCCTGACCCTGTTTGGTCCTGGAACAAAGCGACTGTCTGAAGACAGCAGTGAGGTGATCACCCTGTGTTTTAGGAGGAACACTCGCCAGAGCCCAGGGGAGCGATGGGAAGGGTGGGGAGAGGTGAGGGAAGCTGGGGCCGGGCAAGGAGGGATTACGGGGGACGTGTCCCCTGGCAGTGGGAAGGTCAAGGATGACTCCAGGGCTTCTGTGATTTGAAAAAGTCACAGATAACCACAAGGTCTTGGTGGAAGGACGCTGAGAGCCCCGTGAGGGTCATGAGGTGGTGGGCAACATGGATCCAGTACCACGGATCAACAAGAGAAGTGAGATCTCCCTGGGACCACATAGGGGGTGAGGGTGCCGGCCTTTGGTTTCAAGCTCTGCTCCTAAGTGGAACTCCAGAGTCTGGGGAGGAACGTGGGGCAGGAGGGAGGCCGGGGCAGAAGGGAGGGAGGCCGGGGCGGGAGGGAGGGAGGCCGGGGCAGGAGGGAGGGAGGCCGGGACCGGAGGGAGGGAGGTCGGGGCCGGAGGGAGGGAGGCCAGGGCAGGAGGGAGGCCGGGGCAGG